TTTTTTTTTTTGAGTTGGAGTCTCACTCTGTTGCCCAGGCTGGAGGGCAGTGGCATGTTACCGGCCACCGCAGCCTCGACCTGCTGGGCTCCTGCGATCCTTCTGCCTTTTTTTGATTTATTGTAGAGATGAGGTCTTGCTAAATTGCCCGCGGGCTCAGGCAATCCACTCACCTCAGCCTCTCAAAGGCGCGGGATTACAGGCTGAGCCACCCAGCCCGGCTGACCCTGAAGATTTTTTTTTTTTTTTGAGTTGGAATCTCACTCTGTCACCCAGACTGTGGCCACCACAACCTTGACCTGCTGGGCTCTGGCGATTCTTCCGCCTCAGCCTTCTGAGAGCCGGAATTACAGGCACGCGCTACCATGCCCGGCTGATTTTTTTTTTATTTTTTATTTATTGTAGAGATGAGGTCTCGCCAAGTTGCCCAGGCAGGTCTCGAACCTGTAGGCTCAGGCAATCCACTCACCTCAACCTCCCAAAACATGGGATTACAGGCTGAGCCACCGAGCCCGTCTTTCGACTCTGAAGATTTTAAATGAGAGATTGTATCTCTGTATTAATGCCAGCCACGACATCTAAGGAACAAAACTTTATTGAGCAACATTTTTTTAGGCAGACATTTCTGCCCAAGTGGGATACAAACTACAGGGAACTGACAAATTAGCAAACCTGGGATTTATTGCTAGCCTGACTCGGAGCCCTTAGGCAGTAGGACTTTGTATTCAGTTTGCTTTTGGTTTCTGTACTCAGGGACTGTTGACTTTTGCTTATATGAACAAGATTCATCCCAAATTTACTTCTGTGTTCAGCCTACTCTGCAAGATAATGTCATCCCGTTCTCGTTTTGTTTGAAGGATCTGACCCCAAATTTGCTTGGAAACTTAATAAAGTTGGTATATTTCAGCTCAGAGGTCTTCATAAATAAAGCCACTTAGACCTTATGTGCATTTGACCAACTAAAATAGATTTATCTTTGCCTGTAAAAGTGATAAGCAAGGGTACTTGGTCATAGGCCTCTTTTTGCTGTCCTTACCATTTGTGTAGTACCTCATAGCCATTTCATCAACTGCTTGATCCTTGTGTGAAGACCAGCCATCTGGAAAGCTCTCCTGTCTTGGATCTGGCAGCCTGGTTCTGATCCTATGCTGCTACTTTATCTCTTTGTCCATGGCTAAGGCATGTACTTTCTGAACTCCGTGTGTCCCCATCAGTAGGGAGGGGATGACAAAGGCTATCCCGCAGATGACTTTGTAAACTGTCAGATTTTTTGTTGCTTCTTGGGAATATTGCAAATGTAATTAAAAATATTCTTTTAAAGACAAGGTTGAAAAAATTGTAAAAATCTTGTAAGGTGTTAACTCTAAAAGCAAAACATGAACTACTTCTCAGGATGCCATGTTTCTACCAGCTACACCATTAGCTGCTGATTGACTTGCTGACATGGAAGTCTGAGGACTATGGATCTTGACTCCGGCTTGCAATATAATTATGAGATTCTCTGCAAATACGCTTATTAAGAGTATAAGACAGGCTGGGCTCGGTGGCTCAGCCAGTAATCCCAGCACTTTGGGAAGCCGAGACGAATGGATTGCCTGAGCCCGCAGGTTCAAGACCCATCCGGGCAACTTGGCAAGACCTTGTCACTACAATAAATCAAAAATT